AAATCCCATGGACAGAGGAGACTATCGGGCTACAGTCCATGGGGTGGTGGAGGGTGGGACACAACTTAGCACAGCACAAGGCAGAAAGCAGCTTTGGCAGGAAAGAGCTTTCTGCAGGAAGCCCCTTTTGTCTTGACACTAACCATATACCAGACACCCCCACACTCTACTCACCTCCAGCCCAAGCACAGTTTTCAAAAGCACACTTTTGATCACAGAATATTTTGCCTGTCGTGTTGGTTCTTTCCATAGATCAAAGAAGTAGAAATGAAGAATAAGTAGTTAACAGATGACTAGGTCTCTTCCCTAGCTTTCCCTTCAGTAATCTTGTGAACAACCTATGCGAACAAGATAGCATCTGGAGAAGTATGGTATCATAAGAAGTTGACAAGCCTGTACATAAGCCTGCACATAGTGGGGAATGCAAGGAACATTTCTTCCTTGACTGACCAAAGAGAAAAATGTCTGTCACTATGAGGAACAGGCACAAGCAAGCAAGGAATATTGCTGGAAGGCCCAGTGGTGTTGGAGATGAAGGAAACATACACAAAAGTATGGATCCTGCAATTTTAGAGATGGAAGGTGCTGCTAAGACTGCTCATCTTATGAACTTCCGCTGTGTACTGGGAATTATGTAACTCTAGGTTGCGTTATTGTGTTCAGTTGCTCAGTCATGTCCAACTCTTTGCAGCCCCATGGACTGTAGCCTGACAGGCTCCTCTGTCCATGGAATTTTCCAGGTAAGAGTGGATTGCCATGCCCTCTTTCAGGGGATCGTCCAGATCTTCCTGACCTGGATCTTCCTGGCTCAGGGATAGAACTCTGTCCTCTCTGTCTCCTGCACTGGCACTAGCGCCACCTGGGAAGTCTGTAACTCTAAGGGTCTTCCTTAAAGACAGCCTCAGGGAGGGACTTCCTTGGCAGTCCAGTGGCTCAGACTCTGGGCTTCCAATGAAGGGGGCTGGTTTCCATCCCTGGTTAGGGATCTAGATCCCACATGCTGCAACTAAGACCTGGTGCAGCCAAATAAATAAGGAAACAGAAAAATAAATAAATATATATATATTTTTTTATAAAAGACAGTCATAAGGAATAAAGAAACTATGGGTGGAGCTCTGGGCACTCAACATTCTTTGCACCCCAAGACGATGCATCTGGTTAATATATTTGAGTCTTTCATAAGGTTTTGTATAAAAAAGACTCCACTGTATGGCATAACAATGTTTAAAAATCATACTAAGTGAAGCGAGCCAGACAGAGAAAGACCAATATCATATGATATCACTCTTATGTGGAATCTAAAAGAATGATACAAATGAACTTATGTACAAAAAGGAAATAGATGCACAGACATAGAAAATAAGCTTTTGGTTACCAAAGGGGAGAGGGGGAGGGAGGGACAAATTAGGAGTTTAGGATTAACAGAAACACATATATAAAATAGGTCAACAATAAGGACTTCCCATATAGCATAGAGAACTATATTCAATATCAGAGGTAAACCATAATGGAAAATAATATGAAAAAGAATGTGTGTGTGTGTGGGTGTGTGGGTGTGTGTGTAACTGAATCACTTTTTTGTACACCTGAAATTAATACAATATTGCAAACCAACTATACTTATAATTAAAAAAAAATTATCCCAAGGAAAAAGATCACTGCATTGTTTGAGTGCCTTTCCCCCTACCCATGTTCCAGTAGCATTATTACAGAATTAGGAGAGGAAATAGCTAAGAATAGATCCTCATGAACTAGTCTCATGCATGCTTGCATTTTTTCCCCAGCAAATATTTATAACGCACCAATTAAGTATCACCCAAAATGCTTCCTCAATATTCCAGAGTGGCTAGAATGAGCCACAGGGCAACCTGAAAATGGATACTGGTTGATTTGATAACAGTATGCACATGACAATTTTTAAAATATGCTCAGCATGTATTACAAATAGAATGATCAAGAAGTGACAAGTTTGCCTTTCCACCCACGCTACAGATTTAGATTTTGGCATGTGAATGATAAGAAAAGTTAACCATTTGCAATTTTATTTCAAAAGATATTCATTGTTTTTATCTTGGTGGGGGAGTAATGGCCAAGAGAGACAAAGGCTGGGAGAGTGGGAACTGATAGCTTGGCCTCTAAGGAAGTAAGAAAAATTAAACTCATTGCTTGGAACTCTGTCCCTTGACTTATCAAAGAGAAAGCAGTGGCATCTATAATGGGGGCTGTAGCTAGGCCCATCAAGGGAGCCGAGGGGACTCTGGTGTTCACAGTATGAGGAACCATGGGGTTTCCTGATGGCTCAGCTAAGAGTCTGCCTGAGATGCAGGAGATGGGAGTTCAATCCCTAGGTTGGGATGATCCCCTGGAGGAGGAAATGGCAACCTACACCAGTAATCTTGCCTGAAAAAATCCATGGGCAGAGGAGCCTGGTGAACTATAGTCCAATGCGTTACAAAGAGCCAGACAAGACTGAAGCCACTGAGCATGCATGGACTGATACACTCCAGAACATTCTAGTATATTCCAACATTCTGAGGCAGACCTAAGGTTCAGAAGCCCCTGACTCAAAATTCCTAACTTCTGAGTAGCCTTTTCTATTGAATACTAACAAAAAGAAGAATCAAGTTTCTCTTACTTTCCTCTGAAGTTAAACACCTATTTCGTTGAGATGCTGGAAACAGGGAGCTCAACTCAGGCAGTTTACTTGGTTTGGCAGTCTTTCCTGGTTTTAGCACTGAAAGTCCTATGTCCTGGAAACTCCTTCATTCCCAGGCAAGCTGGGATAAATAGGAAGCCTAAGGAAACAAGAACCAAGTGAATGGGTAGTTCAGTAACAAAACATCCCAAAAGTTAGTGGCTTATAACTGTAATTGGGAAGAACAAATCGGACTCCATACTGAATCTGCTTCTTTTAAACTTTGTATTCTATTGTTCTTGCTTAATGTTAAGAATGTTGCCTATAGCCTGAAATGTACAGGATAGACCAATCTCAAGGCTCTGACCTTTAAGGGTCACTTTTGCATTCATATAAAGATTAAAAAATTGCAGAACAGAGAAAAACATTTGTCAAGTTGGAAGTTTACAGAACCACCCTGAACTGAACTCCAGGGACAGCTGCAAGAAGAAAGGATTCTGACACCAAGAGTTTGCAACAATGATCCATGCCGCTCCTTCACCTTGCCTTTAAAATGCTTTGCTGAAACTCCTTCAAAGAGTTGAGGATTGAGGGGATTTAGGGGATCACGAGTCACCCACCCCTCTCCTGAGTCATCTACCCCTCTCCTTCCGTGGCCCTGCAATAAACCTTTCTCTGCTCCAAACTCTGACATTTTGGTTTGCTTGGCCTCATGTGCGTGTCAGCCACATGAACTGGCATTCAGTAACAAAACCACTATCTTTTTTTTTTTTTTGCTCACCATTCCACATCCTTGGCTAGGATTGGCTGGGTGGTTCTTCTGCTGGTCTTGCTTATGACTTCTTGTGTGGCTGCCTTCCACCAGTGTGTCTCCAGGAGGCTGGTCTCAGCTGAGATGCAGGGACATTTGGGTTTTGCTCCCTGTCCAAGTAATCTCAGGGCTTCTCCCTTTCCATGGAGTCTCTCCAAGGGCCTTCAGCTCTCCAAGGGTAGCTGAAGCTTTACAGGGTGCAAGGAGATCCAACCAGTCCATCCTAAAGGAAATCAGTCCTGGGTGTTCACTGGAAGGACTTATGTTGAAGCTGAAACTCCAATATTTTGGCCACCTGATTCGAAAAGCTGACTCATTGGAAAAGACCCTGATGCTGGGAAAGATTGAAGGCAGGAGGAGAAGGGGATGACAGAGGATGAGATGATTAGATAGCATCACCGACTCAGTGGACATGAGTTTGGGTAAACTCTGGGAGTTGGTGATGGACAGGGAGGCTGGGTGGGCTGCAGTTCATGGGGTCACAAAGAGTCGGACATGACTGAGTGACTGAACTGAAGTGAACTGAACTCCAAGGGCCTTTTTACAGCAGGGTAGCTGAAGCTTTACACGGCAACACAGTAGGAGCAAACCCTTCCTGGTTTCTCAAGGTGTAGGTCTGGAATTGGCACAGTGTACTTATACCTGTCTTATTGGTGAAAGCCAGGTCACAGTGCTTTCTAGAATCAAGGTGAGGGGACTACCCCAGGAGTGGATACCCAGGGGCAGCTCATGGGTGCTGCCAACCTAACTGTTTACTCCAGAGGTGCAGTGAGATGCTCTCTGGGACTCAGAATTCCTGGTGCCTGATTCTCTCCTGGTCTGTTTGCGAGGCCGCCTGCCTTACTCACACTCAGAGAGAAATGAATAGGAATAGTTGGACCTTGCTTCAGAGACTTCAAGAGCTCTGGGTACATATTAAGTTTATCCCTATTAAGCTTACTCTTGCTAAGTGTACTGAGGATGGTGAATCCCTGCTAAGGTTGCCAGAGGCGAGAGTGTGATCCTGAACACACAGATAATCCAGCGGTGCCTTCTGCCCTGGGTGGTCCAGTTGGTTCTTCTGGGAGACCAGCCCAATCCCCTCCACCCCAGAGTTGCTCCAGTTCCACATTCCCTGGCTTCTCCTATCTCCAACCCTTTTCTTCTTCTTTTTTTTTTTTTTTTTTTTTGCTGGAGAGAACTGGGGCCCCCCCTCACGCTCCCCTACCACGAACTCCTCCTTAAAAGAACCCTGGAGAGGCTGAGGGCCCTGGGGTCGCTGCCAGCTTCCTTCCCTTTCGGCACCAGACCTCCTCTTCCATCACTGTGGTCACTCTCTGGGCTTTCTGACTCTCCTTCGCTCGCCACCCCGCCCCGGGTCACAGCAGGGCCGGCGCGTCCCGCCTCCGCTCTGTCGCTTTAAGCGGGTCCCCGCCGGCGCGCCCCTCCCTCACCCCTCCCGGCGCTCGGCGGCTCCCCGCCGCCTCTCCCGCTCCTCCTGCTCCTCCTCCTCCTCGCCGCCCGCTCCTCCTCGCCGCCCGCTCCGCTCCTCGCAGCCTCCGCGCACCCGCAGCCATGGCCGACATCAAGACGGGCATCTTCGCCAAGAACGTCCAGAAGCGACTCAACCGCGCGCAAGAAAAGGTCAGAAGCGCGCGGCGGGCCGGGTGGCGGGGACGCGGGCAGGCTGGGCCGAGCTGGCCCGGGGAGCGCAGGAGGCCGGGCCGGGGCCGGGGCCGGGGTCGCGGGGACGCCCTGCCCTCCGCCGCAGCCACTGCAGCAAGGCGGCACCCGGCAGTCGGGGGCGCGCAGACCCGGTGCCCGGAGGCGCGAGGTGGGCCTGGGTCTCCCGGCTCCCTCTCCCCCTGCGCGGCTGCGGGCGCCGGGCACGAGCTGTGGCAGGTGCGGCGGGTCGCCCGCGGCTCCCGGAGCGGAGCGCATCTCCCTCCCGGCGCCAGCTCTCCGCGCTCCCGCAGGCGGCTCGCGGGTCCCGGCGGGAGCTTGCGGCGCTCTAGTTCCTCCGGCGGGATTCCTGGCTACTTGGGTGCAGCAGGCACGAGCGATTTCTCACAGAAGCTACACCTCTCAAATCTGGATCAAGAGGGCTGACCGCTCCAACCCAACGGCTTTAATACAGTGCAGTAAAGTGAATCCTGAAGTTCAAAACCGAGATCTAGATGCACAACTTCTTTCTCTTTCTTTGCTTTTTATTTCTTTCTCTGAGGGGTCTCTGTTATATGTGTATCCCTTTTGACGCCAGTGCCCTTCTCTGGAAGGTCAACGATAAATATGACTTGAACCTAACGATTCTCTGCACATAGGAGGGGAGGGCGTTTTACTGCATTAAAAAAAAAAAAGCCCATGTTACACGAGTTGGGTTCCCTGGTGTTTCACAAGCCCCTCGAGATTGGTCACAGTCAATTATTTTTCTCCCCGAGAGATGGGTACAAATGAATGGCAGGTCCACGTCAAGCCCAGCGCCCAACAGTTGGGGAGGTACTGGACCATGCACTGGGCTTGCCTGGCTTCCCTTGCCTACTGCTTGTCATCAAGACCTTGCCAGCACTGAGGTCTTCATTTGTGCCCCTTGCAGAGGACATTCATATTGTATGTCAACCCTTGTGCTTGAAAATTGACACCAGCTAATAAGCCCCGTGGTTTGTGTCCGTTGAACTGTGTTCTCTTTCACGTGGAAGTATTTTCTGTCCCTGGGATTCTGGGTGTTTAGCGGTTTCCTGTTTTACTGGAAGTCAGATTTGCCGCGTTGCTCACTGTGGCAGTGAATTTCTCTCTGCAGACCCTGACTTAGACTGCCCTCCAGTTCCCACTGACCGCCAGGAGCTGAGCTGAAGGGGGGCACTGATCTCTTTGCCTCTCTGTGTTCCCAGAGGCTTGGTGGCTGCCTCTAGTCCCTCCCTTCACACATCCACGCTCTCAATGCAGTAAGAGGATTGTATTTCTTTTAATATCTACCCAAGCTCATCCTGAACCAACAGTGATCCTCCTGCCACTCCTTTAGCTGCTGAATTAGCAAGGCTTCCTGCCTGCTTCCAGTCCCTGGCTACTTGTCCAGAACATAGCCAGGATCTGCTGGGAGCCTGGTTAGGTTTTGTCATCATTTTTCCATACTTCATTTTATCCACTGGTAGATATTCCACCCCACCCTCTCCCTCCTTCCAAGTAATTACTTGAATTTTGGGTCTGAAGCGTTTCATTGAATCCACTTTCCATCTGTGAAGGAATTTAGTGATACAGTCTGCCTTTTGACATATTAAAGTATTTGTTAATCTAGGTCACCAGCTGTTAATATGCCAGAAATAACTGAAAGGAAAATGTAATCTGACTTAGACAGCATGCAAGCCCTTATGAATTGTTGAAAACTCACTGTTGCATTACTAAGGTCAAGTGTGTGTTATGATTGCAGTTGTGGCTGGTGGTTGATCACAGTGGTCTAGGGAAGCTTTGAGCAGGGCTTCATGTATCCTGGTTTCTCCCCTGGGGAAAGCTGCTAATGAAAAGTGCCTGTTGTACCTAGTTTAGAAGATTAAGACACCAAGAGGCTGAGAGAGTGGGTTCTGGCCCTGGGTAAGTTCTGCCCCCTTACTGATACTGTTCAGCGTATGGGAAGAGGGCGTGTGGAAATCCAGGTAAGGCAGTCCAGCCAAGCCCAAACAGTAGCCCCTGGACAATGAAAACCGAAGTGTGCTGCTATTGATGGGTTCATTAGACAGCTCCTCCAGTGATGCCTTCTTTTTGCATCTTCAGCCTCCCGTTCTTCTCCAGATGCTCTCTTGTAGTTACTATGTGCCACGTATGTTCTTGAGACCCTTTGTTCCTGGTTTTTACCACAAATTTTTTCAAAAGAGAGTCCACTCTCTTTCTTTCTCATCATTTTTGATCCACCTAACAGCTTGCATGCATTTTCCCTCGAAATGCATGACAAACTACTCTTTCAGATAACTTATGGCTTTCTATGAATTTAATATAGATTTTTGAATTGAAAGCCTGTAAAGTTTCTTTGGAGAAAAAAAAAAGTGAAATACACATATAAGGGAAAAAAAACCACCAACAAATTAGAACACTCATAAATTCTACCACCTGGAGATTCACAATCATTTAATGTGTCCCAGTAGATTTCTTCTTCTTGTATATGTATGTATTTATACAACTAAAACAGACCCATCCTATATGATTTTGTAACCTGTTTATTTCATTTAATAATTATGAACATTCTTCAATGGATGTACATATTTTCCATCATGATTTTAAGTGACTGAACAGTACTGGAATGTATGCATTTTAGTGAATCCCCTATTTTTGGACATTCAGTTTCCATTGTTTCTGAATATAAATGCAAATCGGTGAGAAAACTTATAGGGGAAATGTTGCTACACATTCAAGTATCTCCTTAAATAAATTCCTAGAAGAATTATTCTGTCAAAGGTATGCTTATTTTTATCATAGCTGGATTGCCTTTCAGAAAGGTTGAATCAATTTACATTCTCACCAGCAATCTGTGAGACTTTGCCAATAGCAGATAATAAAATTTAAAACATTCTTCAGATACATCATTGGAAAAAACTCTTGCTGTTCTTTTTCTTGCTTTTATTTTTTAAAAGTCTTAACGTTTTTTGCATTAGTTTTTTTAATCTGTGAATTTTGTTTGTATAGTTTTGCCCATTTTGTATAGCATCTCCATCTTGTTATTTGTAAGGGCAAAAACTTTATCAATTCTAAAGGTTACAAATATTATTTCTTCCTTTTCTATTTACTTTTTAACTTTTGAACATTTTTTTCCTGCTATGGAGCATATTTGTGTTTGTATTATGCTTATTTATTTCTTTATTTTGTATTTGCTTAAATCTATCAATTTATTTTGTGTGGTTTCCTCTTTTGGCTGTTGAATTACTTGGGATTCTGCCACTTGTAAATGTCAGAAAACTCAGTTCAAACTGGCTTAAGGGAAAAAAAAAGAGGCTTTAATTACTAAAAATAAAAACATGGTTCTTGCACATATAAATTTAAATGAGTACAAATACAATATGTACTTTTATTAAGCTATGAACATATATACTTATATATGTGTATTTTAAAATATATGTACATATTTCTGTTATATATGTTAACTCATTTGATTCTTTGCAGTTAGGTACTATTATTTTCCCTGTTTTATAGATGAGGAAGAGATTAAGTTACATGCCCAAGGTCACACAGTATGCAGTAAAGCCAAAGTTTGGACCCAAGCAGTCCAATGCTTCTTGATTGCATGGTGCTGCCTCTTATAATTAGGAAAGGCACAGGGGTGGGCACCGATCAGGCCTGCATGGAAATAGGGATTCAGCCACAGACCTCAGGGCTCAGGTGTTTTCTCCCTACCTCTCATCTCTGCAGTCATCTTGTCAGCCCCATTCTTGGGCAGGTTCTTTTCTTTTGGTGGCAAGATGGCACTCAGCAGCTCTAGGCAAGAGCATGTCACTATTTACAGATAATTCAGGATAACCCTCACCAGCCCAAACTGGGGCTTGTTCCTCACCCTGGAAGAACGAAATCTGTGGCCAAGGGCCAGGGCCATGGGTTGGATTGGGCCTGAGTCACAGGCTTCTATGGAAGCTGGGATGAAGAAATGTCCCCTAGACCATATGCAGGGCTCGTGGAGGAGGGAGAATCAGAGGACAGAAAAGAATGGGTGTTGGGCTGGCAAAATAAAAGGTGTCCACTGAGGTGTAATTAAAAAGCCTTCCTATCCTGTGTTTGTATAAATAATTACATAGTTAATAATTTATAATTTAACATTCATTTAAAATTTCCTATCAAGTTAATACATCCATAGTTTAAAAAATAAAATATTAGTGAAAGGTTTATTATGAAAAATAGCAGTCCCCTGTCTCTTCTCTCCTCAGCCACCAATCTTGTTTCCCCAGAGGCAGCTATTATTAATCACAGTGCCCTTCAAATTATACTTAAAACTACTTCTGAATCTATCCTTCCATATTTGGTGAAATAGGTAAAAATTTAACATGCATACATTCTTCCCTCTACTTCCATATCCCCTAATAATGTAGCAAAAATAGTTGATTGCTGAGGATTATATTTTTAAAATGGTAAAGTATGGAAAACAATAGATATATGTACATGTATAACTGATTCACTTTAGCGTACAGCTGAAACTAACACAATGTTGTTAATCAACAATACGCCAATGTAAAATAAAAAATTTTTAAAAAGCCTAGTTGATAAGATAAAAAGAAAGTGTAGTGTTTGTTGACTATAACACACACATCTTAACTATTTAGCCTTGGTGGATTTTTGTGTATTTGGATCTCTGTATACCTATCACACAGAACATTTCTATCATACCAGATAACTCTCGACCTTCATGCCTCACCTGTTGCTTTTTATGTTCATACATTTTAAATTCCTTTACCATCATTTTCCTGATGAACACCTTATATTGTACATATTGGTTATTTTGATATCTTCTTTTGCAAAGTGTCTGTTCAAGTCTGTTTTATTTGGGTTGCTTGTGAAAAGAAGAGAAGCGAAAAGCAAAGGAGAAACTCTCTGAATGCAGAGTTCCAAAGAATAGCAAGGAGAGATAAGAGAGCCTTCCTCAGCAATCAGTGCAAAGAAAGAGAGGAAAACAA